ATAATCATTGAATTATAACAGAATACTTAATTATTATCTTTATAAAATGTTGTATTATTAAACCAAAAATAAATTATTTCATTATTACACTTAAATTAAATTATAAAAAAAATCTATACTATATTATAAAGCATTTGACAAAAACTTTTAAAAACCACTTTTTATGCGTAAAGTACTGTTTATTAATGCATATTACTTAAAACTCAAGATTACAAGTAGATTTTGCGTACATATCTGAATTAGTATAACTAATTGCAGATAAACATAATCAAATACAAGATAAACATCTTATTTTAAATATAAAAAATCTAAAATATAATTAGGAAAATCATTGAGTTCTAACAGAAGACTTAATTCTTATCTTTATAAAATGTTAGGGGTTGTTTGTTTGGCTCTTAATGGTGACATTAAGAGCCAACCTCTTAATCGGTCAGAGGTGAAGTGTGTTTGGCAAAAAAAAAAAAAAAAGCTCTCTTAATGGTTACACAAGCCTCTTAACCATTTTGAGGGTAGGACTTCACTAAACCATTCAGATTACCATTTCTTCCCTCTTTACCCTTCCACACCCTTTACCAAGCAGCCGCGCCCATCGTCTCCCCAAGTCGGTTATCGCCTCCATCTTCTCCGGTTATCGCCTCCATCTTCTTCGGCGCCGGTGTCGTCGGTCGCCCTTTCCACAGCCCCTTCGTCGGTCGCGCCTTCCTCAGCAAGCTCGGTCGCGCTTTCCTCCTTCGTCGGTCTCGCTTCTATCAGGTTTGTCTCCCGTAATCTTCTGTTTGGTCGCCGGTCGTTAGTCGCCGGTCGCTAGTCGTCGGTTAGATCCTCTGATTTTGAAGATTGCTATCATTTTTTTTTACTAGATTTTCTGTTTAGATCTTGCTATTTAGAAGGGGTTTTTTGAAGATTGCTATCACTTGCTGTTTAGATCTTGCTATTTAGATGGGGTTTTTTGAAGATTGTTATTGCCCTTTCGATTTTCTGTTTACAATGTGTGGGGTAAACAAACCACTGCTTTAGAAGTTTTCTGTTTACAATGTGTGGGGTAAACAAGCCACTGCTTTAATAAAACGGTTTCCTCTATAGTTTCATAACAGAGGAACATTGTTATTTAGGATGAGGCATGTTAATAAGCTAAGGATGGTAACAATTGTAAACAGATCTTGTTTCGAACTAATAATGTTACGTTTGTTTGGATTAATATGAAATATGTAGTTATTTTTGTAAAATTATTGTTTTATTCAGATATCAGCCAAACAGCTTTATTTCATTCAGTACTAAATCATTCAGAGGGTTAAAATGGTAATTT